GGGAGTGCGCACAAGCAGGGTGCGGGGAGGCAGTTTATAAACGGCCACCCGACCCTGCGCTGCCACCGTCTGGCCGTTTATATACAACGGCCGGATGGGAGGTGGTTAAGAAATGATTTTTTTTTTTTCTCCCTGCCAGGCAGGTCTATGCGAAGATTGCGTTAACACTTCAGGATTCAATTCACCTATAGGCGATTTTCTAGCAAAAGGCCCTCATTTTTCTGGGAATGTTGCAGAATTCGGTTACATGGCCAGATTAAATGCGAAGAGTGTCTCATAGAGATTTTTCAATAACATGTAGCCATTCTCTTTGTCTCTAAGAGCTGGAACTTCGTCAGAAGCGGAACGCATGTAACATAGGCCTTTTCTGAAACAGCTAATCCTCGCACATCTATTAAAATTGTGTTTAATTAGGTTGTGAATCCAAGCCTGCCGCCTTCATTTAGCCGTTCCTCCCTTCCACGGGATGTGTGCCTGATCAGCAAAGCGTCTGCACAGGCAAAACAAACAAACCTCCCCCATTCATCAACAAGAACATTGCTCTGCAGATACAAGCTCTCCTACAAAACAGCAAAAAAAAATGTGTAAACAATGTCGGCCGGACAGGCAGATTGCAGCAATATGGCTCAAGTGGAATATATGGCCTACTACATGAACGTCTCATCGTATCTCCACATGTCAGTCTGAGCCTAAGCCAACAGAAGGCGTGCCAGACCAAATTCATAAAAGTCCAAAATAGATTTAATGAGTCACAGAACAAGCCAACGCGTTTCGTTGGCAAATCACTTCCTCACGGCTCAGTCATTTTTTCAAGTGTTTAAAAGGACTAAGGAAGCAGATGCAAGATAAATATGTGAATTATTAAAGGCCAAGTCCCCCTTTTGCACAAAAAAGTAAACTCACGTTTTTTTTTTAAAAAAAAGTGCACTTATTCTTTTGCAAGTTACATAGTTAGTCTGGCTGAAAAAAGATAAAATTCCATCCAGTTCAACCATAGAAGAAAAAAAAAAGTTATAATCCTACACCCACAGTTGATCCAGAGGAAGGCAAAAAAACCCAGCAAAGCACGCCCCAATATGCTCCTGCTGGGAAAAAAGATCCTTCCTGATCCCCACGAGAGGCAATCGGATATTCCCTGGATCAACTTTACCTATAAATGTTATATCCAGTTATATTCTGTGTATCTAAGAAAGAATCCAGGACTTTTTTGAAGCAAGCGAGTCTGCAAAGCACTGCAAAAAAGATCAGTACATTGCAGGTGCAATGCCTGGCTCCTGTAGCCTCTTCCTCCAGCTTCCTGTCCATACCAAGGTACAGGCCTTCAGTTACAGACCCAAAGGAATTGTCAATGGACTACAAGTGAGGTTCATCACCGCTGTATGTCACAGTGGCACAGATTCACTGTGAATGAAGAGAATGAAGAGCCGTGCACAGCCGCACCAATTTCAACCTGACAGCTGCTGCAGGGGAGAAGAAAGGAAGGCCTTTTTGAGAAGTGAATGCACTTTGCACCAGGTTACATCCTAAATATGGGTATACCATATAACTTGGTTAAAAATGGAGTTTTCAGACTCTTATAATTAGTGATGAGCTTGGGTTGGGGCTTGGCTTCTCTCCAAACCCAAACTTAGCCATCACTGCTTAGGCAATGAGCTGCGGGTTGGAGCTTTCCCACAACTGATGTTCACAGGGATGCTTGTGACATCATTGACCTAATATCAGGTCAATGTATTTGACCTAAAGAGGCCAGACTGGGTCAAAGATGTTGCAAGCACCTGTGCCCCTTTGTATACATGCAGCGACAGGGTGGGAAATCCCATCCATAGCTTACTGGCCCAGCAATGACCACTAACATCCAGGTTCAAATGGAACCCAAGTTCAACCCCATTTATGAATTTGGTCTGATGTGCCCTCTGTTGGCATATGCGCTTAGAGACATTCATGGTACACACTGCAAGGTAGTCCTGTGTTTGCATGTTAGGCACCTAGGGTTTCATGGATATTCAAATGTCTGCATGTGACTTCATAAAATATAGTATTGGGTTACCTCTTTGCTTGAACATGATTCTTCCATCAATGCAAAGGCATTGGTCAAGTGACATCTTCCAACAGAGAGGATCACTGGCTGGCTGAGTCTGTCCCAACTTGGATTACACTGATTTTTCACTTTGCTCTGGTGGGCAATCAGTGCACTGATAGAAGAGGACAGGGGCTAAGTGGTTAGCACTTCCGCCTGGCAGTACTATGGTCGTTGGTTCGAATCCCAACCACGGCACCACCTGCCTGGAGTTTGCATGTTCTCCCTGTGCCTGCGTGGGTTTCCTCCGAGTACTCCGGTTTCCTCCCACCCTCCAAAGACATGCTGGAAAAGAATTGGCTCCTGTCTAAACTGGCCCTAGTATGTGAGTTAGGGACCTTAGATTGTACACCCCTTGAGGGTTGGGGACTGATGTGAATGTACAACATGTATGTAAAGCGCTCTTAAAATCTAAGGTTCCTAATTCACATTCATAAATACACATACTAGGGCCAATTTAGACAGGAGCCAATTCACCTACCAGCATGTCTTTGGAGAGTGAGGGAGGAAACCGGAGTACCCGGAGGAAACCCAGGAAGACACAGGGAGAACATGCAAACTCCAGGCAGGTGGTGCTGTGGCTGGAATTCGAACCAACAACCCTAGTGTTGCCGGCGGAAGTGCTAACCATTTAGCCACTGTGCTGCCCCAATTTGATTTGTATATCCCTATAGAGGGCCTACTATCATCAATAAATCAGACAGAAGCCCAGCAGAGTTAGGAGTATGAGGTATCCTCAGGACTCATTTCTATCATAAAGTAAGGTGCTTATGCTTTGGATAGTGAGCAAAGCCATGCAAATCAGTCCTTTATACTCTATTTCTAAGAAGCTGTTTCCATATACTACACTGATTATGACCAGCAAGCCTGAAACAGCTGTATTCCAACTGGAATATATGGCTTTATAATAGTAGGCTGTACCTGTAATGTAAACCAGCCGTTCCAAGTGTACACTTAGCCTGGGGCAAAAGAAGTGATCTTCACAGATCTGCCTACTTATTCATTATCATGAAGAACAAATTCCTTATTATAATTAGTAATGGAAGCAAGGCATGAAGATACACTATGCGTGAACACCTGATCATCACATATTAATAAACTTTCTGGCCATCCCATTCCACTACACTGTATGTGGACACCTTGCCATCTCATCCATATGAACCTGTTGGCCATCCCATTCCACTATACAGTATGTGGACACCTTGCCATCTCATCCATATGAACCTGTTGGCCATCCTATTCCACTATACAGTATGTGGACACCTTGCCATCTCATCCATATGAACCTGTTGGCCATCCTATTCCACTATACAGTATGTGGACACCTGGACATCACACCTATAAAAACTTGTTGGCCATCCTGTTCCACTATACTGTATGTGGACACCTGGCCATCTCATCTATATCAACTTGTTGACCATCCCATTCCACTATACTGCCTGCATGTGAACACCAGGCTATCCTATCTATATGAACATCTTGGGCATCCATTCCACTATATATGAACAGCTGACCATCACCGCTATATGAACTTTTTTTGGCCATACCATTCCAAAACAACATCCATTTGGATATTTTCACAAGACTCTGGAGTGTATCTCTGGGAATTTCTTACTATTTAGCCAAAAGCGCATACGTGAAGTCAGGTAATGATGTTGGGCAAGAAGACCTGGCTTCCAATGGGCATTCCAATTTATCCCAAGGGTGTTGAAGGTCATGGCTATGTTCTCATCCTCCACAGTCAAGCCATGTTTTTATGGAGCTTTTTGCACAGGGGCACAGTAACGCTGGAATAAAAAAGGCCTTCTCCAAAATGTTGCCACAGGGTTGGAAGCACAAAATGTCTTTGTATGCTGTTGTACCCTTCACTGGAGACACCTGAACTCAAAAATTTGGAGGAAGGTTCACATAGTTTTCATAATATAGCGCACCTTCTGTTTTTATAAGCAGACCAAAGTAGAAGCTCCCAGGCATGTTGCACGCCAATTGAGAAGTATACAGAAAAGGCAATGCTGGGCTCAGCAGGTTTCCACCAAAGCAATTTAGTGCCACATAAAAGGTTAAAAAGACAGAAGAAGGAATTCACACATTGTATCTGGGGTTGAGGAGACACTCTGTTATGTGAGTGTTTTATCTTTAGATGACAGTACAAGGGCACTGAGGAGAGGTCATCTGTGTGCTACTTCTCAAGAGTGTTGACTGTAAATCCAGATCCTAGTGTTCTTCAAAGCAGCCAGACACCTCCAACACATGCTCTATGTATCCGCTGAGTAGATTCTTATCATAGACTGAGAAAGAGCAATGATGTGTACAGCTAGAAGTAATAAAGGGCCACTAATCTCAAAATTAAAAGAAATCAAGTCTAAAAATAAACGTGTGTGTTACCCAACGGAAGCAATCAATTTTTCCTTTGAAGATTTGTTGGAGCAGGAGCCGACCACTAAAGTGAAAGTTGTCCTTTAAAAGGTTTACTGATATCTAAAGGCAAAACCTCATTTTTTTTGGCAAAGGTTTTTATTTCCCTAGGTGTTGTCACTGGGGAGACATAAGATGGCCACACACACTTAGAATTTCTGATATAACAAATGCGCAGCACCAAAAATAGTCCAATACAATTATGCAATATTCCAAGTAAATATAGATATCAAAAACAAGTATAACGATCAAATAAATCAACAAAAATGTTGTGATAAAATGGGCTTTTCCACTACAGTGCCAGATCGGTGATCCAATCTTAATGTATATGTCCCCACAACACCCTAAAAGGGCAACACCACTTTCGTGGGGGGGGGGGGGGGGGGGATATGTGTGTAATTATATACACACACGAATTCGATCTTTTAGCCTGTTTTCTATCCATTGTAAACTTTACCATACACATTAGTTGTGTGTGGAGAACAGTGTCAAACACTTTTGCAAAATCCAAGTATGCCACGTCCACCGCCACCCCTCTGTCCAAGTATGCCACGTCCACCGCCACCCCTCTGTCCAAGTATGCCACGTCCACCGCCACCCCTCTGTCCAAGTATGCCACGTCCACCGCCACCCCTCTGTCCAAGTATGCCACGTCCACCGCCACCACCCCTCTGTCCAAGTATACCACGTCCACCGCCACCCCTCTGTCCAAGTATACCACGTCCACCGCCACCCCTCTGTCCAAGTATACCACGTCCACCGCCACCCCTCTGTCCAAGTATACCACGTCCACCTCCACCCCTCTGTCCAAGTATACCACGTCCACCTCCACCCCTCTGTCCAAGTATACCACGTCCACTGCCACCCCTCTGTCCAAGTATACCACGTTCACCTCCACTGAGGAGAACCCATGTGCTTCTATCCTCCAACCTCTATGTCCGTTTCCCCCTTGACTCCATGTGCATCTATCTTCTGACCTTTACTACCACAGGTGTTTACATTCTCCAGATTCTATGCCTTTGTCCCTTGCCAGTCCACATGCCTCGATCCTCTGACCATTATCCCTTTTGCTCCTAACATGCCATGAGTTTTAATCCTCCGACTTCTATGCCAGGGCCTCCCACTGCCCTATGTGCCTTCATTCTCCAACCTCTACTCCCTGGTCATGACGCCCCATGTGCTTCCTTCTTCCGACCTCTATGCACCTCCACCCCTCTGTCCAAGTATACCACGTCCACCTCCACCCCTCTGTCCAAGTATACCACGTCCACCTCCACCCCTCTATCCAAGTATACCACGTCCACTGCCACCCCTTTGTCCAAGTATACCACGTCCACCTCCACCCCTCTGTCCAAGTATACCACGTCCACAGCCACCCCTCTGTCCAAGGTTTTGCTCACCTCCTCATAAAAAGAAATCAGATTTGTTTGACAATTTCTGTCTTTCATGAATCCATGCTATCAGTTGCTTATAATATATTTTTACAGAAAGAAGTCATCTATGTGGTATTTTATTAAACTCTCCAGTATCTTCCCAACTATAGAAGTTACACTAACAGGTCTATAATTACTTGGTAAAGATTTTGACCCCTTTTTAAATATTGGCACCACATTGGCCTTACACCAATCCAGTGGTACTATGCCAGTCATTAAAGAGTCCCTAAAAATGAAAAACAATGGCTTTGAAATGACAGAGCTCAATTCTTTAAGGCCCCGTGGGTGTATGCCATCCGGCCAGGTGCTTTATTCATCTTTATTCTGTCTAAATATTTCTGGATCATATCAGTTGTGAGCCAATGTGGATCATCTGGAGCTGTGTCAGTTCAACGCCCATTATGGACAAGAGCTCCCCCATACTCCTTTGTATACACAGAGCTGAAGAAGGGACTGAATACATTGGCCTTCTCTTTGTCCCCAGTCACCCCCTCTAGATTATTTAATTACTTAAAAGGGATATCATTCTTGGTGGTAACCTGTGAGGGTGACTATTGCAGTGGACGACCAAATATCCTGGATGGGATCACCTGAGCATTCTGTGATGTAGATCTTGCAGTAAATCTTTTTCACCCTTCGCTTAAGGGTGTTGTGGGGACAAACACAAGAAGATTGGATACCGATCTGACACGATGGTGGAAGACACAATCTTAGCACATGAACTTCATTGGTTTATTTGATCATTACACTTATATTTGGTATACATTTACTTGGAATATTGCCTAATGGGATTGCACAAGTCGAACATCTAGGTACATCCACATGATAAATATAAAAAACTGATAGCACAAGGCATTCCCATACACATCATCACAAGCCTGTACTCCTAACAGGATAAAACAAATCCTGTGTGTCACCTGCATATCTCTGCCTGCAGGCACCTTGCAAGGTACAAGAAACTGGACTAACTAGTTCCCTATTCCCTTTTCATTCTTTTTTTTTCTCTGACGCAGGTAAATGTGAAGAAAAGACTCTACAAGCCTTTTGATTCTTCAAACAAAATACTCCAATAAGTGGCAGAGCAACATGAGCTGAGAACCCAGAAGTGCTATATATAACCACAATGCTAACCACCAAGCCACTGAAGAAAATCTAACCCCAAGAACAAAAATGTAATATATTGCAACTTTCTAGTCCTTAGATGTGGTGGCTGCATTCGTTTTTTTTTTTATGCTGTTTTCATTTATCATGCTAGGACTTACTGTCCCAGGATGATGATGCTCACTTGTTATACTGATGCTAAAGGAGCAGCGCTGTCACCTTTGAAAAGGACTACAAAACACCCTCACCTCCATGACATAGGGGTATGTCTTTTCTAGTTCGCAGAGATGGCTGGGAACAATGTTACAGATTACAGTCCTCAGAGGCAGATTGCCTAGGAAGGTATTAGCTCCCAAGAGTTCTGGCAGGATCAATGCATTTAGTTTTTTGCACTTAAATACAATTCCCCTTTATTTGGTGCAATTTTTGCCCTGTAGAATGCAATGGGAGAAGATGAAAAGCGTATGAAAAATGCAGAGGCACAAGTGTGAATCTATCCTTAAAAATGCTTTTACTGGTATAATTTACCAGACCAAAAAAGGACAAAGTAAGTGAAAATCATTAGGACTTACACGTGCCTTAATAAAAATGTATACAGGGCCTAAAATAAGGTGAAATGTGGTGCTGAAGGGATGCACTAAGCCAAGATATCTAGAAAGTTTGGGCCATGTATAAAAAACTCTAAACGCAACTCTTTCAGAGTGTAAAAAAAAAAAAAAAAAAAAAATCAAATAAAAGTGCTCTGCAGACTGTCTATGCCCATGTTCCCTGACAACCCATGTGCTTCCATTCTCCAACCTCTATGCCCATGTTCCCTGCCAACCCATGTGCTTCTATCTTCCATGCCCATGTTCCCTGCCAACCCATGGGCTTCTAGCCTCCATGTTCCCTGCCAACCATGTGCTTCTATCCTCCAACCTCTATGCCAATGTTCCCTGCCAACCCATGTGTTTCCATCCTCTGACCTCTATTCCCGTGTCCCCTGCCAACCCATGTGCTTCTATCCTCCAACCTCTATGTCCGTTTCCCCCTTGACTCCATGTGCATCTATCTTCTGACCTTTACTACCACAGGTGTTTACATTCTCCAGATTCTATGCCTTTGTCCCTTGCCAGTCCACATGCCTCGATCCTCTGACCATTATCCCTTTTGCCCCTAACATGCCATGAGTTTTGATCCTCCGACTTCAATGCCAGGGCCTCCCACTGCCCTATGTGCCTTCATTCTCCAACCTCTACTCCCTGGTCCCGATGCCCCATGTGCTTCCTTCTTCCTACCTCTATGCCCTGGTCCCCTGCCACCCTATGTACTTCCAACCAACAACCTCAATGCCTGCTTGCCCTAATGCCCCATGTGCTTCCATCCTTTGACCTCTATTGTCTGTGTCCAGCGATATCCCATGTGTTTCATCCTCTGTTTTCTATGCCCTTGTTCCCTAATACTTCACATGCTTCCATCCTGTGACCTCTATGCCTGTACCCCCCCCCCCCCCAACACCCCATGGGCCTTCATTTGACCTCTATGTCCTGGTCCCCTACCAACTTATGTGCTTCCACCCACCAACCTCTATGCCTGTGTCTCCCAATGCCCCATGTGCTTCCATCCTCCAACCTCTAAGCCAGTGCTTCCCACAGCCCTATGTCCTTCCAATTTCTGACCTCTATGCTAGGGTCCTCTACCATCCTATGTGATTCCATCCACCAATCTCTATGCCAATCCTCGGAAGCACATGGAGTGTTGGGAGACACAGACATAGAGCCCAATTATCCAACTTTTATGCTTGAATCCCTCCATGGCCTCATTCTACGACTTTTATGCTTTAAATCCTCCATGACCTCATGCGCTCCCAATCCTCGGACCCAAATGTCTGTGTCACCCTATGTGCTTTCAACTTCCAACCAATATGCCTGTGTACCACCACCCCATGTGGTACCATCCTTTGACCTCTACATCACTGTGCACACACATTTAAATAGTATAATTAGATGTTAATATCCCTTTAAGCAGAGCTCTGGAGGATTGTTTGACAAAATGATTAAAAAGAAAAACTACTACACACATTGGCTCTCAAGAAGAGGTGTTTCCTCCAATTGCGTCAGCCACCAGCTATCCAGAGGCTTCCAGTCTCCCACCAGACCACCCACAGGGGTTCCTGTACCATACTGCACATCTTGTGTGACATACTTCCCGCGTTTATCTGATTATACATCATTTTAATTTTGTGAGTATTTACTTTATCAATAAATCCTATTTTTAAGGTAATGCACTTGGCCTGTGCGCCCTCTTTTTTGTCTTTTATATACAGTTTCTTTTGGATATCCCTGGTCCGTTGAGGGCAGCAAGGCCTGCATTTCTTTTCCCATGTGGAGATCACAATAGTGGGGAGTCAACAGTTCAGCGCAGGAGTACATGCATTTGGTTGCTACATTCATCTTTCCTTACACATTTAAATAGTATAATTAGATGTTAATATCCCTTTAAGCAGAGCTCTGGAGGATTGTTTGACAAAATGATAAAAAAGAAAAAGTATTCAATGCCAAAGTAACACTTTCAAGAGGAAGCCTTATCCTTTTTTTGGTTTTCATCTTGGGAACTTCTTAACAAGTCTGTTACATGAGAGGCTCCATAGCATGAAGGCATCTGGTGCTCTACAATCCCTATCAGACCACAAATCAGTCTTATCTCTCCTGCCTCACAGTTTCATTTTCTAATTATTCCAGACTTGTTGTCCCTGTTAACCTCACACAAGGCCAGTGATGACTGTAATTGGAAAAAGGCAAGAACATCGCAATCATAAAAAGAGCTCGGTATGAAGTCCAGGTATGGAGGCTCCTAAGCATCGTGTGTTTGGTAACCCTTCACTAAACCATGCCAATACAAAACAAGTGCTTGCATTGCAATCTGATTTTATCTTTTCAAGGACTAGAATGGACAACTGGGGATTAGGCATGCAGTGAGACTGCAGGTCACACACACACACACTACAATCTGATTTTAAAATCTCTATCACTGCAATCTCCTTTAAACTGGCCATAGATTCCCATGTGACAAGCTGTGACCAATCACGGCTCTCACAGTATTTCCCAATGGCAGGAATGCAGCCAGAGAGAAGGAGAAATGATTGCTTTTACAGCCTATGGTGACACTGTACTGCTAGGGTGACAGTAAAACAGTAGGATTACAAATAAATACATATGCGGGCAGCACAGTGTCTAAATGATTAGCACTTCCGCCTGGCAGTACTCGGGTCATTGGTTCGAATCCCAGCCACGGCACCTCCTGCCTGGAGTTTGCATGTTCTCCCTGTGCCTGCGTGGGTTTCCTCCGGGTACTCCAGTTTCCTTCCACACTCCCAAAGACATGCTGGTAGGTGAATTGGCTCCTGTCTAAATTGGCCCTAGTATGTGTATGTATGAATGTGAGTTAGGGACCTTAGATTGTACGCCCCTTGAGGGTTAGGGACCTTAGATTGTACGCCCCTTGAGGGTTAGGGACCTTAGATTGTACGCCCCTTGAGGGTTAGGGCCTGATGTGAATGTACAATATATATGTAAAGCGCTGCGTAAATTGACAGCGCTATATAAGTACCTGAAATAAATATTAAAAAAATTAAAAAAATGTAAAAATAAATGCTGAAAAATTATAATATTTGGTTATAAACTAATTTGGGTTATTTTGTTTTTTACTAAAAAGATAACTGAATAAATTCTGGCCAAGATTTATGAAGAAAGATTATTTATTTGCAAAATTTTATAAAAAAAAACACTTTTTTT